AGAGGAGATGCAGGAAGATAATAAACAGACAGGACAGAAAAATAGTCAAATAAAAACAAGTTAGTTTTTGTACCTGCTGTTGCAACAAACAGACACCATTGAAGGTAATAAGAAGTGAGGAACAGAAAATGAAATAATTATTTTAACCCTTTGATGCATAATGGTCACTACAGTGGACAGGTACTCAACATTGTTATTTATTTATTTTTGCTATTAAGCACAGCTGTTGAAGACTTTATTGCATTTGAGCCCCTCCATTTGTACTTCAGTAAGTCAAGCCAACATATTTCATGTTCAGAATGCACTCTGTCCACTGAGGTGGACATGTAATTAACTATGTGTAAATTAAATGTTACAAAAAATGTGTAAATATGAAATTTGTTTCATTCACACCTAAAGATGAATGAAAAAAATTGTTTAAAAAATCATGGTTGAAGATTTCATAATTCATGCATCAAAGGGTTAATGTTTAGAGCAGCAGGAACTCCGAGAGGCTGCAGGCGCATCAGTGAGTTTGCGGCTGCTGCACAGGGGGAGGGGGGAGATGGCTGAAGCAGAAACTACCGTTGTTAAAAGAAATGTGTTTAACTTTGAAAATGTAGGCGCAATTTTAATTGTCAAAAACTCCAGCGAACCATTAGTTCATTTTGCTCGAATAGAAATAGAGGCCTGCCTCTAATACTGGCCCTCCTTCTAATAAAGGCCTGGAGCTTGATGAGCTTGAGTCAAATACAGGCCCGGGCCTGTATTAGAGGATTTACGGTATATACATATATATATATATATATATATATATATATATATATATATATATATATATATATATACATATATATATATATATATATATATATATATATATATATATATATGTATATATATATATATATACATACATACATATATATATGGTGGTTTAAAACGGTTCAGTTGTTATTTTGACTCATTTTGGCAGCTGACCAGCGGGGCCGGTAAATATTCAGAGTTACCGGCCCGGCTGGCCGGTTGGTTTTGAAGTTAATGTCCACCCCTGTTGCAGCATAAGTTACTGAGTTTAAAATTAGAAAGGTAGCAGTGGATATAATGCTTTGTGGTTTACATGTTTCAATAGCATTAAGATAAACGAGTGTTGACGATCTTGACAGGTTCTCCTCCCCCCACCAGGCTAAGCATCACTTATTCATGTAAAATTTATTCATTTTTTCATGTCTGACTTTAACCGCATCTAATACTGTATTACGGCGTGAGCGCAACAGCGACAACTTAAGATCGATGTGTGAGCAGCGTGAGAGGTTGGGTGTTTCATCTGAACCCTTAAAACCTTCAGCAGGCTACGCTGCACTATTGACGTGTTAGCGCGCGGCGCTAACAACTTAGCGACGTGACATGTCTCTGAGAAAGGGTAAAAACACGTTGGACGCTTCTTCTGAAGCGGGAAAATAACACCTCTTCTTAAGCAGAGCACGACGTCGCCTCGGCTCGTTCACGGCCGAGCCAGACTGAGCTCGATAACATTGACCCAGCACAGCCACTGGGTCGTTGGAGCTGCCCCGTGACGGCCTGATGGAAAACCGGTGGGTTTCATCACTCGTAAAGTTTCTTGTTTTTGCTGGGGACCCCCTGTATTTTACCGCACCCTCCTGCAGTCTTCCCCTATTAACATTTAAAATGATTCTGTAAATCCGTGTATCAATAAAAAAAATCTCTGCCTCTGCCAGCTGCAGTAAATGTAGACTCCAAATAATAAATAAGAGGTGCATTCATCCGTGTATCTCCTTTGATCCACATTAGTGATATTCTCAGCACCAGAACAATGAAGCAAAGAAAGAATCCTGAGTTTGTTAGTAATTTTATTTATTAGGTGCATCTAACCTGTTCTATTTTTCTCTGAAATGAGATCAAATCAGTGCTTCTATGGGTTGTCTCCACTCTGCACTAGAAAATTTTACTTTATTTAGAGACGTGTCATAATTTCTCCCAATTTCCTAACCCTGTCTCTCAGAGAGACTTGTCACTAAGAAAATGTTCCTGGTGACGAAACTTTGGCTGAATAGCGCTTGTTCCTGCCTCCAACGTGGCGACGCATCCATGAGCCTGTCTGAGGAAAAGTCCAGAAGCTCATATCCTCTTCAGCTCAGGAAGCTCCCATAGAGACGTCTGATTACACACAAGCAGGTGACCTGTGCACCTGATCTCACGTAAGACCGGGTTGGACCTGTTCAGGTTTACGCTGACAATCTTCACATTTACAATCGGTATACAGATAAAAAATGAATGCAGTAAAATAAAATTTATTTTATTTAACTCAGGGTTTCCCCCAGCGCTTTATATGCCTGGCGGCCTGCCAGGCTTTGCTTGCCCACCCGCCAGGCTAAGCGTCATGCCCCGCACCCCTCCCCGACCCTACCGTGTCCACTGACAAGAAAGGTACAACGAAACTAGAGCCCTCCATCAGCTGATACTGGTGAGAAACAGCCCCCCACCCCCAAGCCGCCAGGCTCAACTCTTTTTCTGGGGGAAACCCTGTAACTCATTCACTGCCAAAGCATTTTTTTTACTGTGTGGGCGTCGGACAAGCCCCCGCACCGTGAGAACAAACATCTCAGCTCTTAAGTTGATCTTCATCCGCACACGTCACGTGATCAGGAAGCAGAAATCCATGTGTTAGATCATTTTGGGCCACTGCTGTAAAAAAAGTGAGGCGCGAACCAGAAAAGCTTCTGCCGATCACAATTCAACAACGGGTAATGAAAGAACGGATAACGCTCGAAACACGCGGTTTCCTCCTGATGTAAGAGGTGAGTCTACTCTTTGTTTTGGGTGTTTTGGTGGCGACATCATCCTAGCGCACAACGTTCTGTGACTCTTAAACAACCAATAAAAACACTGAAAAACGCTGGCGGCGACGGGCTTTCCTGATCAGGAAACGGCTGGCAGTGAATGAGTTAATAATGCTGATATCAGGGACAACATCAGAGGACTGAAATGCTCCTGGCTGCAAATGAAGATAAAATAGAAAAATATCCTGCAGAATCTTAAAATGTCAATCCAATTAAAACTCCGCATTTATTAATAATTTAGCCATCAAGAACAAAGCAGCAGCTGCTGCTACCGCCGTGGGCCAGAGGTGGCGCTACTTCACCACCTCGTAGCTGCCAGCCACCAACAAGAAAAAGGGGACGTAACATGCCTCGTCCAGTCACATTGACCAAGTTTCAGCAAGCCTAGCTGCTAGCCTGCCATGGAGCAGGTTAGTTCTCCAGAATGTGTTAGCATGGTGACCGGGAGGGGCTTTAGGGAACTGAATTTGGGGAAATTAAGCCAGGATCTTCAGAGAGAGCCTGGCTTTTGGAACAGCCCCCTGCTGTGTTTGATTTGATCAGGACATTGTTCTGTTTGTTTATTTTCTGGTGAAACTCAAAAACCCAGAACATTGCACAAAAGTTCATTTATTTCAGTAATTCAACTTAAAAGGTGAAACTAACATAAAATACTTATTAGATGCAAGGCCAAATATGTCAAGCCTTTACCAACTATAACTGTGATGATTATGGCTTAGAGCGTATGAAACCCCCATTAGAATACTACATGTCATAAATTAAACAATTATTTTAGAACATCTGGAAAAGTCGTTGTGTGTCCTCAGTACTTGGTGTGGGCTCTTGTGCTTTTACTGAAATGGATGAGCTTTAGAGTCATATTCTAGCTTTTCCAGTTTCATCTGTAGATTGAATTCATGGCTCTTGTGTGTGAATAATGTTGCTGAGACATTCTGATCAAAACTAAATAAACTCAAACATTACATCAATATAAATGGTAAACAGCCTGTATTTGTGTAGCGCCTTCTTAGGGTTCTACAACCCCCCAAAGCGCTTCACAACACAATCAGTCATCCACATAATCACACACTGGTGGGGATGAGCTACAAAGCAACCACAGCTGCCCTGGGGCGCACTGCCTGAAGCGAGACACCAAACACTGGCGCCACCGATCTTTCTGACCACCACCAGAAGGTAAGAAGGATTAAATGTCTTGCCCAAGGACACAACAGCAGCATTCTCTGGTAGATGCTGAGATCAAACCTTCAACCTTTTGAACCCGTTCTACCTCCTGACCGGATTATCCGATGGGCACTATGGGCACGGGCCCAGCGGCCCACGCCCACTACACATCCATGTGAGCAGCCCGAGGGAGGGGAGTAAAAGAGGTCTAGACATTTATCATACAGTAACTGACCCAGCAATCAGCACGACACACACACCACTGAGGCTGTACGCCTCTCTCGCTTCAGCTTCTCCTCAAGAATGGAGAGCGCTGATTAAAAAACAAAAACTGCTGCAAAATGAATGAGAAAAAAATCAGATTTAAAAATCTAATTCAAATGACTTCAAATAATGTACACTGGTAATAAAGAGCAGGTGGTAAATATATATGTAGCTGTGAGTGAGTGAGTGAGTGAGAGTGAGAGTGAGAGTGAGAGTGAGAGAGAGAGAGAGAGAGAGAGAGAGAGAGAGAGAGAGAGAGAGAGAGAGAGAGAGAGAGAGAGAGAGAGAGAGAGAGAGAGAGATCCCCCACGCTTTAAAAAAGCTTGCAACGCCCCTGGACCCATCCTCCCTGGGCCGGTGCACCGGCTCAAAATGTCCTCCGGCCTGAGTTTTTGTCCCAGTCCAGCCCTGAATAAAATGATGATCAAACTCGTATGAAAACATCCATATCAGATTCATTTAATTATTTAAAACATAAGTGAAGTTACGTGTAAAAAGTGCTGGCTACAAGTACAGGCTTCTGGACGAACTCCGTTGACCTGTTGATGCTCACATCCCACTGTGTCATGACACAGACCGGTAAACGGGGCTGTTACTGGAGAGGGCTGCTAGAGAAAACCAGTCATTTACCTCAGTTACTGCAGTTGGAGGAGGAATGTTTCCAACAGCTTCGTTTGTTAGCTGCTAACTAACTCCAACTCAATCTGAAGCGGAACTGGCGAGGACACTACTCACCTTGCAAGGTGCAGATAACTCCCCCGTCTGTGGAAATGTCCCTAAACTCCCAGTAGAGGTGGTTTCACCAGTTCCTCCTCAGTATCCACTTCGTCCACTTGAACGCACCAATAAACCAGTAGTTCACTGCCGACTTTCGAACAAAAATCCCATCGTTTGGCCAAAATTACGCTTTCTTTAGTGTAAAGTTTAAAACGCCTGTACCGATCACTTATTAAATAACACAGTTCTATAGATTCTTACAGTTCGCGTATGAAATATTTGCGAGTGACGTCTCCGTTCTGTGGATTCATCCAGCGGGATGCGACGCTACATAGCTGGAACAACTTCGGTCGGCTCGCTCTAGCGCCAATTGCTCCACTGTTCTCCAAAAGGGGCGGGGCTAAGTCCTGCTACCTTCATGTACACTTGGTTTTTATACAATCAACCCGTGAAGTTGCTTTAAAGAGACAATGTGTAGTTTTTACCATTAATATCTGGAAATATCCATCAAAATGTTGAAAATGAATGAAATGATACCCAGTTGTTGAAAAAATTAGCAGCTTTATTAAATATTACCATAAAAATCAGGTCTAAAATACATACTTCTAAACTAGCACCCTCCCTGCACCCGTCCCCCCTCTCTACTGTCCACTCCTTGTTCCCTCCTCTCCATGATTGATGTCAAGTTGTTGTTGTTATTGTTGTTGTTAGCCTCAAGGGCAACATGCCGATTATCACTTGTAAGTCGCTTTGGACAAAAGTGTCTGCTAAATACATAAACATAAACACATAAGCATAAACATGGGAGCGGGTCTAGGGCCCAATCTCAGTACTTGCACTTGCACCCTTGGTCAGGGATGTGAGTGCGTAGGGTGTCCCGATTCTCAAGTGCGAAAGTTGACCATGCCCCCATTGCACCCTTAAGCATGAGTCTTTCCGTCAGCTCCAAAAGGGAGAGACATGCACAGACGGAGACATATTGCCCTTATACTTCGTCTCCTGGGCAGTGTTGCAAAGCAATTCCCCGCCAGGACAACAGAGGGTGTAGCGCTGTTCTGTAGTATCCTGTCATGTATCCGGTCCAAGATCGTGTGTTTATATTGTGTTTTTTGTATATAAGAGACTTTTTAACAAACAAGTTTGTCTCTCATTCTCCTCCACCTCTTCATGCGCTCGCAACCTCTAAACCCATGTTTCCTGTCATTTCCGTCTTCTCCGTGTCTGCCGCTAGATATCCTTGGCTCTCTCTTTGTTTTTGAGGGCGCAATGGCGGCGGTGTAGACGACAGCGGTGCCCTGACCAATCACAAGCTTGTGTTATCCGTCTCGATGGACGGATGTTAAGAAAAGAGAGCTCGACTCTGACCTTGCGGGGCTCTCCAGCATTCCCGCAAGGACGGATAATGGTGTTGCGTATCTCCACACTGATGCAGAAGCATGACTCAGGCTTTAATCTGCACTTCACCCAAATCTGCAGCGATGCAGACGTCGGGTAAGGGTATTACCCACAAGTCATTGCTGCAGGAGAAAAGGCTCAAGTTCCTTTTCTGAAAATATGTATTTTCTAGTGAAATTAGTTCATTTTAGGATGATTAGTTGATGCTCTAAAACTTTTAGACAAAGCAGCAATAATTGTAAATTTGTTTCAAATAACTGTTTGTTTGTTTAAAAGTTGGGTTAGTGTTAGGTTTTTGAAAAAGTATCACAGCGACCAGCAACCCGGCATGCGCTGGGATCGATGACGCAACGCTCCCTGTCTCAATTCTGTAATTATTTGCACACTTGTGTACTACGCACTTGAAGCCTTAAAGCACACTTTCTCCAAGTGCACTTTGCTGAAGTCTGCAGGGCGCAGTGCGAGTATTGAGACTGGGCCTAAGTTTCTGGGCGACGCCATGTTAGAAGCCATGTTTCCTTCAACGGGAGCTCATGAGGACAAAATACATTTACTGTTTTGTAACAAACGGTTACAAAACTTTCACCATTTTTTTTTTCCAAGAATATATGCTATTAAATTTTCAATCTACAGTACACCTGAGAGAGGAGAGGTCCTACTTCAAGTGGAGGAGTTTAAGTATCTCTGGGTCTTGTTCACGAGTGAGGGTAGGAGGGATCGGGAGATCGACAGGCGGATTGGTTCAGCATCAGCAGTGAAGCGGACGCTGAGCCGATCTGTCGTGGTGAAGAGGGAGCTGAGCCAGAAAGCCAGGCTCTCAATTTACCGGTCGATCTATGTCCCAATCCTCACCTATGGTCGTGAGCTTTGGGTAATGACCGAAAGCACGAGATCATGGATACAAGCGGCCGAAATGAGTTTCCTCCGTAGGGTGGCCGGGCTCAGCCTTAAGCCTGATTCATGCTTCTCCGTCAGCTCCGCAAGGGACAGACACGCACGGATTGACGGAAGCGTTTTGCTCTCATACTTCTCCGTCTCCTGGAGAGTGTTGCAAAGCAATTCCCTGGCAGGACAGTAGAGGGCGTAGCGCTGTTCTGTGGTATCCTGTCCTGTATCGGTCCAAGATAATGTGTTTATATTGTTTTTTTTTGTACATAAGAGACTTTTTAACACAGACAAATTTGTCTCTCATCCTCCTCCACCTTTCCATGCGCTCGCCACCTCTAAACCCACATTTCCTGTCATCTCCGTCCACAAATAAAACACTTGCTGCGCATCTTTTCACTCCTCCAGTCATGGGGGAATTAAACGTTCATATTTTTAGAATTTTTTCGTGATGTATTCTTCAAGCTGCTCCGCGTCTGCCGCTAGTTATCCTCGGCTCTCTTTATGTTTTTGAGTGCACAATGGTGGCGGTGTAGACAACAGCGGCGTCCTGACCAATCACATGCTTGCATTGTCAGTCTCGACTGACGGATGTTTAGAAAAGAGAGCTCGACTCCGTCCTCTCCAGCAGTCCCGCAAGGACGTTTTGTGTCTCCGCACTGACGCAGATGGAGAAGCATGAATCAGGCTTAAAAGATAGGGCGAGGAACTCCAACATTTGGGAGGGACTCGGAGTAGAACCGCTGCTCTTCCGGATCGAAAGGAGTCATTTGAGGTGGTTTGGGCATCTTGTCAGGATGCCTCCTGGACGCCTCCCTGGGGAGGTGTTTCGGGCATGTCCTGCCGGCAGGAGGCCCCCGGGTCGACCCAGGAAACGTTGGAGGGGTTACATCTCCATTCTGGTCCGGGAACGCCTTGGCGTCCTGCCAGAGGAGCTGGTGGGTGTGGCTGGGGAGAGGACGGTCTGGAGCTCCCTAGTTGGGATGCTGCCCCCGCGACCCGGACCCGGATAAGCGGAGGAAGACAACAATGACGAGTACACCTTTTACACAGTATTATGTTGTATATTAAAAGTACGTCCTGTATCTAACCATCATGGAGCAAAAGAACAATAGAACAATTTAACAATTTTGGTTGTGCTTCAGTTTCTGGCA